GCTTGGGCTATAGCGCCTTCCTCCCACCTTCCTGCTCAGTGATGTTCAAACTGCAGTTCAGGCCTCTGTCACAAGGTAGAACCAATGCATGACCATTATCAAAGCTGTCTACAAATAAGTATAAACAAGAAGTAAAATATACAATACCTCTCTTAAATCCCAGTCTGAAAAATCTAATAGGTGTAAGATAAGATTTGAGAAAAATATTCTCTGGAGCATCCATAGGATGAAACACCAGGTAGCTCTAGGGCACCTTGTCATTTACCAGCAGACATAGATCAGTGCAGAACAGGCAGAAGGTGACTGAGAGAGGATGGGGGCACCAGATCTGGGTCTAGGCAGCTGTGTCCATAGTATACTGGAGAGGGGATGACTTAGAGGGGTTGGGAGAAGGTGTGGCAATCCTGTACAGGAGTGGGGTTATTGAGGGAAGGATACCTCTTCAGTGTGGAAACCTCTACCCACACTAAGGAAGGAAGAGTTACATTAGTGAATGTGATATACATTTGGGGTCAACAACAGATGGAATTGCTTTAATATACATATAAATTTTCCAAACAGAATTGTCATCATAGTAAACAAACCATCTGAGATGTTTGTTACTCTGCAAAACATATTCCTTTGTCATTAGAAAAGAAAAAGTACAATAGAGTTGGATGTCACCTGGTGGCCAGAGATAGGATTACAACTCTGAGAGTCCCAGAAGAAGGGTCTGGGAAAGAGGGAGGGAGGATTAAGTTTGGGAGCATAGGCCCAAGATACCAGGTAGATTTTTCTGAATTTATTCACCTAATTGTAGCAATCTCTGTATCCATCATTTTTCAAGACATCTACAACTGATATTGGAATCCAGCCACCCCTCTGAATTGAAGGTAAAGCTGTACCAGTGAGTATGTATTTAGAGTGATAGAGCTAGGAGACACACACACACACACACACACACACACACACACACAGAGTCAATCCTATTTTTTATCAACATTATTTCAGCATAAAATTGAACACCATGGATGCTTTATCAAATTAATGAATATATATGTACATTACTTTTATCAATATGTCCAGAAATATTTTCTTTGTCCAAATTTTTATAAACATACATTTTCTGGAAGACAATTACAAACAATATATAAAAATATATTCATAAATTGAAATTAATCTGCATCTTTCTCTTGCCCTTCTTTTAGCCCCTGACCCAAAGAGGTCTGCTGTCAATACATTGGGGCTTACTTTCCAGAGGCATTTCACGTCATGCCTCTGAGCAGACCAAAATTCAGTTCCTCAAGCTAGGAAGAGAGACATGTCTTTTAATTCACCTAGTAAACTCAGTGATAGATCACACCAGAAGCAAGGAGTGGTGTTTGCCTAATGGCAGATCCTAACTGCTCAGTGTGTTAATATATGTATAGGAAAATTCTGAACCCATCTTGCAGTCACTAGTGTAGGGCTCCTCACATCATACATAATCTAACCACATCACACCAGGATTTCAGCCATCTGCTGCCTCCCAGAGAGGCAAAAATCCAATATCTATTTGCATTTCTTTGACACATAATTGTCCATTCTTTCATTATCTAATAACTAAATATTAATATGTATTGAGCTCTAAACCCATATTATTCTACTGGAGGTGTCTTATCTTCTCCAAAGTGGAAATAAGAGAGTAAGATGGGAAATAACATATGGCCAACTTCAAGGGTTAAATCCAAGATGAGATGGCTTCTTCACATCAACTTTTAAATTTGCTCAAGTCAAGAAACAAAGATTTTCAAAAATCCCCCCTGGGATACCTCATCATCCATTCAGCCACAAGATTAGATACCTCTCCTCCCTTCCCTTTCCTTCTTTTCCCTCCATCTCTCTCTCTTTCTCTCTCTTTCCCACCCTTCAATTCAAAGTACCCAAAAGAGTTTTCTACATTCCCTCTTAACATTGCTCACCTCTCACTGACTCCTTATCCCTCTGTACTATGGCTTCTGTTCTCAGGATTACAATGAATGTGCTCTCCTGGTCACAATTTACCTTTTTGTCACTAGGTACAGTTTGTTTGTATAAATATATTAACATAATCTATATTACTTATAATGGTGTTCTAAAATATGTATGCTGTTACGGACTGCTTCTTTTATTTAACAACATATGACTGGGAAACATAAGCATTCTCTGCCGCAACCACAGGAAAGCCATTCACTTCAATCCCTGAGGCACAGGCAGCAAGGCAAGATGTTGGGGTAAAAACTTTCCACAGTATTACTGGACAATTTCCTCCAAATTCAAAACGACACAGATTACTATCAATATTTTAAAGTTCTTCTGCCTAGTTAACTGAGAAAAAAACATGGAACCTTAATTTGTTTTATTGTGCTGTGTCCACCCACATTAAGGTGGGTCTTATCATATGAGAGGCAGGAGCACATTAGATGAATTTACTCTGGGACTACACAGCCTGTGTTCAAATCTAAGCCTCACAACTTGCTGGCCCTGTCCTCCTTGTGCCTCAGTTCCCTTATGCTTAAAGTCAGGCAGCAATAGCTCCTCCTCATGGGTTACAGTTAGGATTAAATGAAGTATAGGATTAGCACTAACAATAGTACTGGGAATTAAGGAAGTCAGCAATAAATATTAACATTTTTATCATTATTATCATACTTAAATTTACCATTAGTATTTCCCAGCTATTTTTAATAGTATGTGGACTTATATGGATGGCATGGATTGACCTGCATATTATATGTGTACAAAAAAAAGAAGTTTGCAAAGCCATAAGTACAATATCATCTCACTTCTATTCTTGTATATGCATGGTTATATTTGCCTAGTATAATTTCTAAAAGAAATGTTAATATATGTACAGTCCCGTGTCACTTAATGACAGGGATATGTTCTGAAAAATGCACTGTTAGGCAATGTCATTGTTGTATAAACATCATAGAATGTACTTACAAAGACCTAGATGATATAGACTACTACACACCTTGGCTATATGGTATAGCCTATTGCTCCTAGGCTACAAACATGTACTGCATGTTACCACACTGAATACCGTAGACAACTGTAACACAATGGTAAACATTTATGTATCTAAACATAATTCACTAGTTGATAGGAATTTTTCAGCTCCATTATAATGGGACCACCTTCACATATGGGGACCTTCACTGACAGAAACATCATGACATAGAGCATGACTGTATTCAGTAGTTAACAGTGTTTATCTGTGAGAAGTAGGCTTGTAATGGTTTCTAAAGAGTTTTGTTTGATTTCCTGACTTTTAAATTTTAATCTATAATGAAAGTGTTTTATTTTGGGAGGTAAAAATAACAAAAACATATAGCCAGCCCATCCCATAACAAAATGTCTCAGTGTTGGAATGGGGAACATCCCTAAGCCAAAGGAATTTGATACTAGAGTGGTCCCAGAAGTAATGTATAAATCTATCCACATGAAAGTCACAATTGGGCAGCTTTAGGGAAATTATAGATGCCCAGGGGAAGGGGCAAGTGTGTCCTTCAAATGAAACTTAACATTTAGCAGTCAGATGTCTACACATTCCAGGATTTCAGTGAAGGGCAGGAGATGAAAGTAATTTCACAACATGCTTCTCTGTGCACTGTCCCACATGAAGCCCCTTAAATTGATAGCAGGCTTCTCTGTTTACCCACTTGCTTAGCCAAGCAATGACTGCCACAGGGGAGGGAAAGGAGTAGGGGCTGCATGCAATCGCCCAGGGCTCAGCATCACAGCTGCCAGAGGGGGAGAATCCTGACACAGTGGGGGTGCAGGGGAAAAGCAGAGTCACAGTCTCATATCAAATTCTAAATGGGATACATCCTCATGTCAATAAGGAATTTGGGTAGTAGACTGGACATAAGAAAACTAAGTCCCCAAAAAAATCACTGTTTTCTTTTACCAACATGGCCCAGATAAGGCTCCAGGTATATGGGAAGGACCTAGATGAGTAACAGTTTGAATGAAAGACAGAAGACTAGGCCCAGACAAATGGGATGATGTTCCATGTTCCATGTCAGGTTACACTGAGACATTGTTTTAGGTTAGTTGGTTTCAGGGACGTATAAGACTTTGAAAACATAAGGGGAAAAAAAGAGTTTGAGAATATAATCTGCAGATTTTCTTAGTGTTCCCTACAGCATATAAACTAACGAAATGAGTGTGTTGTTTCAGTAAGTCTGCAAGAGAGTACACAGGATAAGGAGACATATATAGCAGGTTCCACTGTTGAGATGTGAGAATATGTTTGTTCGCCTCATGTTTCTTTCATCTTCTTTTTCTATGAGGTAGTCACGCGTGTATAGATAACACCATGCCACAAGACAGTACCATTTCTCACTTACAGATACATACATATGTGACAAAACCATAAAATGTCTTAAATATGAAAAACTCAAATTCTGCATAATGGTTACCTCTGGGGAAGAAGGAGGCTAATGTAATCAGAGAAGACATCAAAGTGAGATTCAATTGCATATGTAATATTTTCTATGTTAACCATGAGTACATAGAAGTCTCTTAATGCTATAATTTTTTTAATGTTTGAAATATCTCAGAACAACCACTGTTTCTATGAGCTTTAATTCTGACTTTAAAAATAGCAATTTAGAAATTGTAGAAAAAAGTCAAATCCAAAGGTAGAGGAATATTTAATCAATGACCCACCTTTCATTAATCCCATAATATATATCATTTCTTAAACTTCCTCCCACTTTATTCTCTATGCAGGCATATTTAATGTTTATGCATTAGTTATGAGTTTCATTTATTTGGAGACTCAACATTTCCTAAAGATCATGAAGCTACTTATTAAATGCACACAGATTTTCTCTCCACTCTGACTCCAAAATCTAAGTCCTTAACTATTGGGATATATAATCTTTTCCTGTGTAAGGGCTGAGGCCAGCACAGGGGAAATGACTCCCCATAGTCCTGTACACAGGAGTGAGGACCAGCTCTCATGATTTCAGTGTGTTATACAGCAGACCCACCTTTGTGCTCTGTCATCTGTACTGTCTCCTCTCTGGGGCTCAATGGGAGGCTGTTATTCCAATGTCCAAATAGTAGATAAAAGAAGATGGTAAGAAAGGACATCAAATAAAAAGTAATGAGGAGATGTATGCTTTCTTCTCCACTCCACTCCATCAGGCAATTTGTCCTACAAAGAAAACACAGGAAAATTTTTTTTGTCATATAAATATGTAAATATTCAATTTTGTGTTGTTTCAAATTTAACTGATTTCTAGGAAATTTTCACATTAAATTCAAGCTATTTGTAGAAGGGAGAACACAGGGGAGGCTAACACATGTATTTGTTGCAATGCTAAGCATTAGACACTTTCCATAGATTTGCTCATTGTTCATTTTCTCCTCATAATAGCTCAGTGAGGTAAGTATCAATATGTCCATTTGACAGATGCCCCAGGTAAGGCTCACAAGCAATAACTCACTATTACAGAGTCACACACTTCTAAGAAGAAGGAGGATCTACCAATCTACGTTTGTGTGTGTGTGTGTGTGTGTGTGTGTGTGTGTGTATGCAAAGGCATTCAGTTATCTTGAAAATGTAAAAATAAGCAAAGATATACCAGTCTATTGTAAATAAAAAGAAATCAGGGATTACAATCTCGACATTTAAGAGAGCAGAACTAAGAATAAAATGGATTTTAAAAGACACAAAGCACACCTGATAATACTAAAGCCTAAAAGTCACTAGGAGGATTTTAGTTATTAATGTTTATGTAACCAGTCACACAACAAAAATATTCATTGTGTAAAAACTACAGGAAAAGGAAAAATGCCAAAAATCATACTAATATGTGAGGTTGTTATACCTTGGGTCCAAATACAAATAATTAAAATTGTGGAATTTAATGAAAATAATGATAATAGAAACAGACTATATCAGAATCTACAGCTAGAACAGTGGTCAGAGAATATTTTCATACATTAAATATCTATATCAATGAAAATGAAAATAAATAAAATTAACATTCCATTCCAAAAGCCAGCTAAAGAACCTCAATGTAAGCTACAGGAATTCAGAAGAAATAATAGTTAAAAGGTTAAAGTAGAAATGAATAGGCTAGAAAACAAAACTAAAGTAGAATTTATACATAAAGCCAGATTCCTTTGGGGGGATATCAAAAACATGAAAAGTCACTGGGCAAAATAATGAAGGAAAAGGTGAGAAAGAAAAATGCTGAAAATTTAAAATGGTAAGCATAACAGTCTTTAAAACAAAGGAAATTTCAAGTCTCTTAAGTGAAAAATTTGCAGAATACATTTGAAGACAGATGAAATAGATAAATTTCTAGACATACACACTTACCCACATTAACTCCAGTAGAGACAAAAATTATGAATAGACCAATTACATAGAAGAAATAGCGTATTTGGTTAAATAATCCTCCAGTAAAAAAGCACCAGTCCTAGATATTTTTTAGAAGAGATTCTAGCAAATCTTTGAAGGAAAGATAATCCCAATGATAGTTAAACTACTCCAAGGCCAGTTAAACTACTCCAAGGGTAAAACAATGAAGCAAGTATACAAATGATTCCAAAACAGAAAAATTACACCAAAAAGGAAATAACAGAACCATATCATAAAAGAAAAAGAAGGAATGCACTTAAATAAAACATCAGCAAACACAAAGAGCACATAAAAAATAGATCATGGCCTTGTAAAGCTTATTACATATATGCAAAGCTATTTTAATACCAGGAAAACCATTAATATAATCTAGAGAATCAATACAGCCAAGGAAATAATTATATGCAGAAACGTATTTAACAATATCAACATTTCACAAGACAAAAGATCCAGTTTCTTAAGCAAATAAATTGGAAGGTTAAAAAAAAAATTGGTCAGACTTTTTTTAGATTAAAAGAGACAAAACTTTGGAGAAAAATAAAAATAAAATCATAGATTATAGCTAAACCACAATGAGAATACAACTACCAGAACAACAAAAATAGAAAAAATGCAAAATTCCAAGTGTCAATGAGGATGTAGAGTAGTGGAACTCTCAACACTGCTGGTGGGAATACAGACTGGAACAACATTTTGAAAAACTGTTTATCAGTATCTACTAAGATGAACATTCATACTCCCTATGAATCAGAAATGGCACTGGTCGGTCCATGGCCAAGAGAAATGAAAATAAACATCCACCCAAAAATATGTACAAGTATGTTCAAAGCGCCATTATTCATAATAAGTCAAAAACTGAAAAATGCATAAATCCCAAAAGGGATACATACAATGTGAAATAGTCACACAATGCTATACTATATACCAATGGGAATAAACAATATAAAACTATAAACAATAATGTAAGGCACGCACACATTATATTGATTGAAAAGAACCAGACATAAAATGGCATGTGCTGTATGACTCCAGGATTTTTTCTTCTAACCTCTCAATAGAGTTTAAGGAAGGAGAGGAAAATCAATGCCCTATTTCCTTTTATTGGAAGGTACTTAGTGTCTTCTTATATTACCTGCAGGTTACCCTCAGAGAGGCCTGTATCCTCTGAACCCTTGAAAAGTGATTTACTACACATAGGACCAATGCTAATGCTACAGGAGGACAGACCACTGCATGCAGACAGGAGACATATCCGGGCCACAGTGTCAGCCCTAACTTACTAACTCTAAGTGACCTTGGGTAATCACTACACCTCATCTGTCTCGCCTATCAATATGGGTCAGACCAGCCCTGACTCCAATCAACAAAGCCTAGAGCACAGGACCATGTGATTTCTACCTGGAAGAGCACTCCAGGATCCTGAAAGAAAAATCCTAGAAGTCCAAGGAATTATTTTAACAGCTAAGATGTCTAATGAGTAATAATTGTGATGATTATTACCTTTTCAAAATTATTACCATTTTGTTTTTACAATTATTACATTTATTTTAATAAATGCCATCTGGTATATGGCAAAAAAACTACTGAAGGATAGTTTCCACCCAAAGACAAATGGCCCTGCTTATCAACAACCATGGGCTGGCATTGTTTAACATGTCTTTTTCATTTTCCTAAGTGTACTTGTTAGGAATGTGGGATCTGGAGATAGACTAGGGAAAGCTCTAGTTCTTACAAACTATGTGACTGAATATTTTTACCTTTGTAGTCACTCAAAAGTCTCATCTGTAAAACTGTGATTGTATAGTATTTACCATAGAAAACAAAACACTTTCAAACAAACATTAGTTTGTGTTTTGTTTTACAAGTACAAATGGTCAGAAATTCCATTATTTTAAAAATTCTACTGTAGGAACTGGTTCGCTGTGATCTTGAGAGAGTAAAAGAACTTCTCTGTGGCCGGGCGCTGTGGCTCACGCCTGTAATCCTAGCTCTTGGGAGGCCGAGGCGGGCGGATTGCTCAAGGTCAGGAGTTCAAAACCAGCCTGAGCAAGAGCGAGACCCCGTCTCTACTATAAATAGAAAGAAATTAATTGGCCAACTGATATATATATAAAAAAATTAGCCGGACATGGTGGCGCATGCCTGTAGTCCCAGCTACTCGGGAGGCTGAGGCAGAAGGATCACTCAAGCCCAGGAGTTTGAGGTTGCTGTGAGCTAGGCTGACGCCACGGCACTCACTCTAGCCTGGACAACAAAGTGAGACTCTGTCTCAAAAAAAAAAAAAAAAGAACTTCTCTGTGTCTCAATTTCCTCTAACATAGAATGGGGAAAACAATCGTCCATACTTCATGGGTTGTTGCTTTGAGAATACTTGAGTTAATACATGAAAACTCTTAGAACAGTGGTGGGCACACAGTACAAGATCAACAGCTGATAGTTGTTTTGTAAATTTTGCAAGTTGAAATTTTTATAGTTTTGATAGTTTGATCGTTTGCATTTGTTGTAATGAAGCTTAATAGTCAACAACTCAATATTATTCATCAACCAATTCTGAGTAGCATGAGCAAATAACAACGACATCAGACATGAAAGGATTCAGAATTTTAATAGATCTCATTGCAAATTAACAGAGTGTTTTTAAAACCTGGAACCAAGTAGGACAATTACTCAAAATGTAGATACCGGTACCTCCCTGAGTTACGGTGGACCCAAATATCTGCTATTTTAACAAGTAATGCCTGATGATTTTGATGAAGTAGTCTATGTACCTCACCTGGAAAAATCCTGAAATCAACAGCTGACATCTATTATTAATTTAATGCCCACTACAAAGAGTTCTGGGACATCTGGAATGTCTTTGTTTATGTAATTACTCTAAAGTCCACTGGTCCTTCCCTCCTACCTAAGACCATACATTGCTTTTTCACATGGGATCACACTTAAAATCTAGAGTATTCCTGGTAGTCAAGAGGACTAGGTATTGTTATTCTGTTGTATAGATGAAGCAGTGGTAGGATGGTGACTTACCTAAGTGTCCCCATGATTGTACCCTGCTCTCTTCACTCTTGCTCTAGTAATCTGTCTAGCAGACTCCACATCATGTTTGGTTCTTCTCTATCAGTCCCTGAATCTGGGACAGAGTCCCACCCTTCTCTGATATTACCCTGGAAAGCAGAGTAATAGTATTTAAAAAGCACATGGAATAGGGAGGGAAGTAAGAGGATGGGAAAGCACACACAATACAAGGGATGGGCTGATGATGTCTTGCCTATCTCCTCTCAGTTAACTGGAAGCTGTGCAATGATGCTTCTCCTCTCTCCCAGCTCCATCCCACAACCCTCCTCCCCACAAAGCAGTGATACTGATGCTCACATATAATGGAAATGTGGGCTTATCCCTCCTTGCTGTTACACTACAAAGTGTTCTCCCTGGTAGTCATGCCATTATGTTAATGTCAGGGGCATTGCACTGACAGAGTAAATGAAACAAATTTGGAAGGAGGAACTTAAAATTGTTGAGGGTCTATTAGATGCCACACCATGTAGGTGATATTTTCAGATTTTTTCTCTTCGCATCCTTAAAGTGATGCTCTGAAGTGGGCATTATTACTTCCTTTCTACACATGAGGAGGCAGTCAGATTCAGAGTACATGCTCATGGAATTCTAGGGAGGCATCAAATGGACACTGAGGCCAACTTGAAGGGGCTTGCACTGGCCAATTCTGAGATAATTTGAGTATCAAAATATTTAATATAAAATGATAGCAACAGAGGGTATCCCTTTGA